GATATTAACTATAACCAGTGATAACCAATTTTCCTGGATATTAACTATAACCAGTGATTACCAATTATCCTGGATATTAACTATAACTAGTGAGAATCAATTTTTCTGGATATTAACTATAACCAGTGATAACCAATTTTCCAGGATATTAACTATAACCAGTGATAAGCAGTTTTTCTCCAAGTGACTGCCCTTCTACTAATCCCACTTGACTTCTGAATCAGAGGTGAGAGACAAATGACCATTTAGACCAGGCCTCAAACCAGTAATCGCACCTGAAACCAGTGACCACTGAATTTCTAATCCGATGCTTTCCCTATTTAGCTAAGCAGGTAGACAGTTTAATAGATAATGAATGAAGGATATTGTAATAAAACTTAGTTAATTAGGTACGGTAATACATAATTATATTCTAAGGCTATTAATGAAGGGACCTCTACTTTTAATTTTAATCACGGCAAAGTGTCAATGATATATAATATTTTTTTAAACTATTCTACTTCTGTAACCTATACAGTTATAACCTTTTCCACTTTCTTTCTCTTTTCTTATATGAAAAAATATTTCATATTTGTTGATGCTTACTGGTATACCTTTAGGGCTAAAAATCGTGACAATAAACAGACCTGGATAAAGTTTGATAAAAATCTGCATATGACTAATGTTTTCATGTTGATTTTATTGTCTGACAAGTTTAACATTTTGTTTGTATAGATTTTGCCTGCATTTCATGATGAAACATTGATAACTTTAAAGTTGTTTTCTTGAGTTTTCATATAGACATTATAGGCAGAATTAAAACTGTTTAATAAAATTTCTTTAATCTTTAAAACTTGTAAGAATATAATTACAGAAATATTGTAAGAATATAATGACAGAAAAAAAAATTGGGTGTCACCGGTTGCCAAGTTTATAGAAATTCTATTGAACAGTTTTAATTGTACCTATATGTCTATAAACATCTTTAATCCATTACTGCATGAGCATTTTGTGAATAATGGCTGTTTCCATTGAAAAACCTCCTGTTACAAGTTCAAATTGCTATGAAACTATAAAATATGCTTCAATATTCATCAAACTTGGCACAAATGTAGACTGGACCATTTGTATCCTAAATTTTCTGTTACCATGGCAATGAGGGGACATCTCAAAATCACTATTTTGTGTTGATTTTTTTCCCATCTAAACTGATTTCAAAGTGCTGCAACTTCTTAAATGGATTGAAATGAAGTCAAAGGCTTTTCAACATTAGTTACACGTTACCTTTTGATTGACTTGAGGTCAGTTTTTGCCACTCACAGGTCCAAAATCTTCTTGGCGATGCCCCCCCCTTCAAACTCCTAAGGGGGCACATCCCCCCTCTCACACCCCCCTGATGTATCTTTCTGATAGGGGCTGGCGCCGAAAAAAGTGATCACTTAAATTTCTCACCACATTTCTCAATGAAAACAAGTGTTTGGGGCCTAAATAGGACATTTTTTCATTATTTGAGTCCTAACAAGGGGGAGGGGGTCAAAAGTGAATTGTTTCACATATATATGAGGTAAAGGGTTAAGCTAACTGGAATTTTAGTTTCTTTATGGACCTGTATGAAAATACAATGTCCCATATGAGAGTCAAATCCACAGAAGTGATTATATATACACTTTTTTACACACTTTTTAAGATTAAAACTTGCCCATAGCTGATAACTGCCCCATAATTATGTTGACGATCAAAGAACCTTTTCAAAATTTTAAAAGAAAAAGGAAGAAAAACTTTGTAATTGTCTCATGTAATGTGAGCCTCTTTAAAGCAGCATGCCTACAAATTCATAGTTTTTTCATGAAAATTTTAAAAATGTATCTAAAAGTAAAACATTGTAAAGTGAACAAAGAAAATAATTTTCATATTGCAAACGGCAGTGTCACAATCCACATAAATTACCAATAAAATATACAAGAATACACAGTAGAAATATGGTGATAAATACTGCAAAATCAGTCATTAATGGCATTAAAAATGTAAAATGTTATTTAAATATTGAATCTTCTTACTTTTCTTAAAATCTTAGAATATTTTTTTTTTCTTTAAATTTTATTTTCTTCAAATATTTTGGTTCATCTGGAGGCATGCAGCTTTAAGATTGGCTAAGAATTAGTAATTTTGCCAGCTACTTATTTGCCTGGGGAAGACAAATTTAATGTTATACTGTAGTGTTTTTGTTCTTATCAAGATTTGAAAGGTCCTTTACCCTAGTGAAGTCAGGCTGTGATAAAAACCATAAAAAAGATGTTATCAGGGGCTTGTATCTAGTCATGGTTAGTTTCAACTATATGTCCCTGTGGCCATAATCTGGTCATCCATAATACAGGATACATGCATACTAATTGGTCATATAGAGAATTCAATACGTTTCTGCTCTAAAATGTTCATATAAGATATAATTATTGATGAATCAAAATATGCATATTTTTTTTACTGGATTGATGAACTTAATTCTAAAAATTATCTCAAATTTGTGAGGGTAGAGAGGAAGTTATGCACCTAGAAGGATATGAAATTATTGATCACCTGAGTTAGATGATTTTATGGATTAATACATAATGCTCACAGTTTCTGTGAAACGCTAAAGATTCTCTCAAACTTTTTTAAAACAAGGTTTCTTTTAGGTTCCCAGGAATGAAATTATTTGTACCTAGGGAGATTTGCTGCTCAAATATGTAGATTACCTGCCCTTGAATAGAGGGATAAGCTGCTCAAAGATGAAGTTTATCTGCTTCTGAAAGGGGGATAAGCTGTGCTCAGAGATAAATATATTGACCAGCTCTTGGAGAGACTGTTAGGCTGCCCAGAGATGTAAGTTACATACCTTTGAAATGAGAGATATACTGCTCCAGGACTCTGCCAAAATAACCTGAACATGGATAGATGAAATGTAGTTACCTGCCCTTGAAGAGAGAAAGCTGCCTAGAGATGAAGTTACCTGCCCTTGAATGGAGATAATTATATTAGTTGTCCAGAGATATTGTGTTTAGTTACCTGTACTTAGATAGTAGGATGCCAAGCTGCTCAGAAATTTAATTACTTCCCTTGAGTAGAGGGATATTAATATATGGATAGAAGCAGAGGCAAAATGTGGTAGTAAATCATTTTTTTCTTATCTTTATAAGTTTAAGGGTGAGTACAATTTCTTGTTTTAGTTGTAAATTGCATTAAGCCATACTGGGCCTGCTGAATATGTTGAATGGACTTATCTGGCTTTACATTTAGAACTGACCATTATTATAATGTTTGAGGGATTTCTAAACATCAAAATTATAACATTGAGCAGCAACAAAATAATACATGTTCAGATTCAAGTTCTAATGTAACAATATTTTAATCACCTTAAAGATTAAACATGATATATACAGACAATTTCCTTTCCTTTGTTTTATTTAAATTTAAACTGAACATGAATTTCAGATTTTTTTCTAAAATGTTGTTTTGTTCATTAAGAGATCAATAAATAAAAAAATGATATAACTTCTGTTGTTATTATTGAATAGCTTTGAATTCTATGTTTGTGTTGTTTTTTTCTCATCTTTCAGGATGTCTGTAGACAATCAAGATGTGACAACAAATAAAATGTTGCAACTGATCAGCTATGTTTATTGACTACATATACTCTTCAATGGCCATAGTTACACACAAATAAAGTTCTAAAGGCTGAATGGACAATATTGGAACATAAGAATATCAGGTTCCAGTTTTGGTCCATAATAGCAAACAATTTATGGATATATTTTGGACCATGATTATTGTTGGTTGATTCATGGAATATTTAATTTATGGACCACTTGTGCCATATTACATTATATGGATAGATGTGTAAATTCCATGGACAATAGATGATTCAACCCCACATAGTATGGCAGTGCATGGATCAAGATGTCTCAAACCATCTTCCTTTTTCTAAATCTATATCAATGAATATGATAATAGATGTGCCAATAATTTTTCTTCTCAAACAATTATTTAACTAATTTATTATTATAATAAAGTGTTTATTAATCATTACTTTCAATTTCAGATGTTTACAACTAAGTTAGAATTATCAATCTTTGATACAGTAATTTTAAGTGATATTCAGCGGTGTTGCTATTATATGTATATGTATTACTAAAGTTATGGAGTTTACTTTATTTTTCAGAGATTGTGAACAATGTCTTAAAATATTATTTATCTGCTGCTAAAAGTTATTCTCTTTATTTGCAGATGCTGTCTTAATTAATGTCAAATGTAGCATTTTATTATTATCTAGTTTGATTTTGTCACGATAAAATGTTGAACATGATGCATACATGTTAAAAAGCTATACAAATATGAAGTCATTATCAAAATTATATCTTTTTTGGAAAAATAATTTTCTGTAACTATAGCAATGGATTACATACACATCAACCATTTTTGAGAACTGAAATTTTTAACATGTTACACCTCATGTTTTACCTCTAATTCTAAGATTTCTGATACCACCAATATTTCATGAAAAAAGGAGGAATAATTGATTTAAAAAAAAAAAAATGAAAAAGATATTGATAATGTAATTATCCTACATAAAAGTGTGTATCAGAAATAAACAAAAATAACATTTTAAATTACATTTATTATATACATTGTATTTATATAAAACTTATGTTCTCATAGAGTTGTGTTTAATATGCAACAAAAAATCTACAGGGTTTTTTTTCTGCAGTTAGAAATGAATATATTTGTATTTTATTAACATGACATTATAATTATTCTGTATGTTAGTTTAAACATATTTTATTTAGCAAATTTACAAGCATTTTATCATTTTACATCACAATATATATGGAATGGAAAACTGTGAAGCATAGCACTTATATTAATACCTTTGCATGATGGAGTAGTCTTTATTATTTCACTTTATATGATCAGTGCATGTTGTACATTTCAATAGTGATCTAAATTAACAAAATTTTATATATTATTATATTACATGTACTTTAACTTTTGATTCATCATACTTTATGTTAACATATGATATATGTTTCTACATGTTTCAGTATCGCCAGTCAACATTTATTCTAAACTTTTTCTCTCGGCAAATTGTGAATATGACATTAGCCAAGGAAATGATACAAGTAATTTTTGTCCAGGATGTAAGTAAAACAATTTCCTTACTTCCTTTGCTGTATATTTTATCTAAGATCTGTGACTCACACAAGACAATGACAAATTTGTGCTCTTAAAATCCAAGAAATTAATATGCTACAAGAGAATTTACTAATGATGCATGCCAAATGTTTAATGTATTTATTTGTTAGTCAACATAGTATTATACCCTCTGAGTTATGTGAATGATATTTATTTATAATGATTTATTTGACATGATTTTTCTTCAATGTATTATGCATGTATAGATCATAAGATGATAAATTATGTTTAAATCTTATTTAAAATTCAAAGAAACAATAATGTTCTATTCTGTTTTTTAACTGCTTAGCTATAGCACTATGTAACATGTATATTGTAATGTAATATTAATGTTTTAAATGATGTAACTACATGGACACCATACTCTGTATTGTAGATTATGACTCCATTGAGACACCATACGAAGGGAGCAAGGAGAGCAAGCTTCAGGATATGTCTGATGTGTTCTGTGCATACTGTTCTAAACAAGATCTAACTTGTCTACAACTCTTTTGTAAGATTTCTATATCATTTGTGTTGTTTTTTCTTATCAAAATATAAAAAAAATCATAGAATTGACAAACTTACTGCCTTCAATTAACAATAAAAGAGCTTAATAATTTAAGCCCAACAAGCTATTTATTAGGCTATAGACTATTCATGTCATTATGTATCCTTATCAAAAGTATTCTATAGCTGTCATTTCCCTATAATAAATTATTTTATAAATTTAAAATTTGCAGGTGCCCCTGACAGACTGATAGTCTCTGTTGCTATGACGATGATGTCATCATTCTGTGATGGTATACAGAATACTTTCCCTTCATGCTACAGTGAATTCTGTAAGAAATACTTTATATCTTTTTCATGTGCTCTTATATCAAGATAACATTTGTGAAAAATGCATTAATCTTAGGCACATTATGCCGCAGAAAGAAAGTTTTTACTTCCTTAGAAAACAAACATGAATTTCATTATGTTTAGATAATGGTGTTAGAGAATTGTTAGATATTCAATGTTACCTGTAAAAAGGAGCAATAGATTTAAAATAATTTGTCAAAATTTTAAGCGGCAAAATGTTAACAAAGTAGTATTTTGACTTCCATACAAAACATTAATTCACTGTAACTGTACCACTATTACTAAAAAGCAACAGATAAAAGAGATATGGTACACCAAAATTAAAAAAGCTTTAAAAAAATAAAAATAAAACAATTTCTGAGGCACAATGGGACTTTAAATTGTGTGATCATTTTCTCAGTACATTTTTATCTTCACAAAAACATTCAATTAATTAATTAAGTCAAGTGAAATCATGAAGATGTTTTTGATGGGTTCATATATTGAGGGGCAATAAGAGAACAGACTTGGCAAATGTCATGCCAATAAGCATCAAACTACTGAAAATTAACATCTATGCAAATACCATAAAAGTATCAATTTTGTAATAAGAAAGTATCTTCATGAATATTGACTGTAGTGTACATTTTCCAGGCTCAAGCTCTGTAAGCAAGCGGGAAGCCAATCAACAAACAGATAGGTTAGGTACCAGTAATGAATGTACCCCAACTTCTGATTGGATATCTGTTGCGGGAATGGACCAATGGTGTCAGAGTAATTGTGCAGGAGGCAATGATCCAGACAAATGTCCTGAAAGTCATTGTACATGTCCAGAGATAGAAGGTATGCAATGCTTTCAGGTGGTACCCCTCACACCTTGCTTTCACTGTGTATACCTTCTTACTTTACCAACTAAAAATAAAACAAAAACAATTCTTATATATCATTTCCCAACAATCAAACCTACTCATAGCTTTAATTTACAGATTATATTGATATTCCTATCCAACATAAGCTTTTATGCTATTTCCAGTGATTTTTAGCTCGACTATTCGAAGAATATGAGAGCTATTGTAGTCGCCCCGGCGTCGGCGTCGGCGTCAGCGTCCGCGTCGGCGTCTGCGTTGGTTAAAGTTTTTTGTAAAGTCAAATATCTCAATTATTGCTTGAGATATTCAATTGAAACTTACAATACTTATTTATAGTAATAAGGTACATCAGATTGACAAGTTGGATAACTCTACCTACAATATTGACAGAATTATGCCCCTTTTTAACTTAGAAATTTTGGTTAAAGTTTTTTGTAAAGACAAATATCTCAATTATTGTTTGAGATATTCAATTGAAACTTACAATACTTATTTATAGTAATAAGGTACATCAGATTGACAAGTAGGATAACTCTGCCTACAATATTGACAGAATTATGCCCCTTTTTAACTTAGAAATTTTGGTTAAAGTTTTTGTAAAGTCAAATATTTCAATTATTGCTTGAGATATTCAATTGAAACTTACAATACTTATTTATAGTAACAAGGTACATCAGATTGACAAGTTGGATAACTCTGCCTACAATATTGACAGAATTATGCCCCTTTGAAACTTAGAAATTTTGGTTAAAGTTTTTTTGTAAAGTCAAATATCTCAATTATTGCTTGAGATATTCAATTGAAATTTACAATACTTTTTTATAGTAACAATGTACATCATTTTGCAAAATTGCATAACTCTGTCTGCAATATTTGCAGAATTATTTGCCCCTTTGAAACTTAGAGATTTTGGTTAAAGGTCTTCAAAGATATTTACTTGAAACTTTACACATGTACTTAGGGTCATAATTTGAGGGTCATAATTGTATGTCACTGACCAAGTTCCATAACTCTATCTTGCATTAAGGCTGATTCATATCCCCTTTTCTACTTAGTATCTTGGTTAATGTTTACATGCAAGTTTTACATATCTCAATAACTATTAAAGATATTTATTTAAAACTTCACATATGCATTTAGGGTCAGAATTGTAGGTCACTGACAAAGATCCATAATTCTATCTTGCATTTAGGCTGATTTTTCTTCCCTTTTTCAACTTAAAAAATTCATGGTAAAGTTTTGCTTGTAAGCTGTTATCTCCATTACTACTGAAGGGTTTGTGCCTTTTTTGGGACAATTTTATATTTTATAAAAAAAATTAGCCCTTTTGTGAACTTAGAATATTTTACATTATTAAGGCTCTTTTACTATCAAGCACTTAGAATAGTCGAGCGTGCTGTCCTACCGACAGCTCTTGTTTGTAGATTTTTGTCACTGCCTCACAGGACAGCCCATGCCTTTCAAATTAAGAAAATTTAGACCTGTATTAACCAATTGAAAATTGGCAATATTTAATAAAATCTTTAAATAAATTGACTTTTTATTCAGATGTTAATGCATTCATTGAGCTTTTCATAAAAAAAAAAACATATGTGCCTTAACAGTTGTGCTGATTGAGAAATTTTTACATTATTAGTTAACTTCAACATATTTTACTTTTAAATGCATTTCCAAATTTTCATGAAAATTAACATGAATCTGGAGGCTTGCTGATTTAAAGTAAGTACATAATATATGAATTTCACTTTTTATACAAGGGTACTTTGAAAATGTAATACAATGTTTATATGTATTTATATAGTCGTAATTATTATTTTACACATATATAATTTTTGTTTTGTTATTTTCAACACTTTAATATACACATAATTTAATCACTAATTGAAATACAATGTCAGAACTTATTCCAGTCTAATTCAAATCAAGTCTGCAGTATTTACTTTCATTGTCTTTGAGGGACCTTCTTGAAGGGCCTTCTTGATTCCAAAGTTTACTTGTGTAAACAAACTGGTGTTTTATTCAATACAAAACACTTGATATGTATAATTTGCTACTAATTCAGTACTTGAATTGGTGACTCCTTCAAATACTTGAAATGACTCACTGTTACTTTTTTGGCGTAGTACATGTAGTTGAGTCACCAATATGACTAAATGACTTGACGATTGTACATGATTTGTAATGACCTTTTTAAATAGTAAAATTGATTGTTAGTCAGCAAATCTTAAATACAGCTGGTTTCAATAAAAAAAACTCATTTCAAAATGAGGAACATTTCAAAAGGTGGTTACAATTTTCCACCAACCTACATGTACATATACTTTCTATTTTAGTCTGGCAAATCAAACGCATACCAATAATGAAATTATTCATAAAAAAATAATTGTATATATGAAGTCTATTACGAATGTAATTTATGTAACAAGTGTGACTTTTGTTGTGATAAAATACAGTATAACCCCTCAAGAGCAACACCCTCTGGCAGACAAAGATTTTGGTTGTTGAAGAGAGGTATTGCTCTAGAAGGGTGGCAATTTATTGTGAATCATTTCTTTAAGAAGAAATGATACTGTTATAAAGAGGCTATTGCTTAACAGAGGGACACTTTCTGCAGAGGTTGTATTTTAGTAGGAAACATTTCAATGAATAATGACAGTAGCAAGAAAGTGTGTATACCATAAAATTCAGCCAAAAAAAGTCACATACATAAATTACATTGCTGAAATTAAGTGAAAAGTATGAACATTATGAAATTACTAAATTTAAACATTTGGAAATGAGGCAATTTTCCATCTGAAGCAGACTGTTAGAAACGTTTGAAAATGAGGCAAATTCCCATTCAACAAATATCTGAAAATCCAGGGCTTTTATACATGATCTCAATTGAAATTGTGGTTGAATTTCATCATATACATTTGCTCACCACCATATTTTTAATACACAAAATTGTTATTCAAACTCTTAGACTAATGCTTTGCTGGTTTCCAGTACTTTCAGTACTTTGATTTTGTTAAGGATTATTATAAAGTATAATAATTATAATCTTGTCTTATTCAGAAACAACAGCCACAGTGACAACAGTATCTGCCAACAATCTGGGAACCAGTTGTCTACAATGGGAAGCTTCAGTAATTTGGTCAGGCGTTCCTGGTACGTAATAATATTCATGATTGAAATTTCATTCAAATCATTAGTTTATTAAAGTAATCATATTATAAATACAAGAAGCTGGTATAGGGAGACATCTGTGAATAGTAGTTAAGGCATCTATCTTTGGGATCGGGAGGTCCAAGGTTCAAGCCCCACGGGCAGCGTGAATTGAAGGATGAATGTTTCTCGTGGGACTTGTTCCGAAATGGCCGCTTTGTGAGCTGCAAGGTAGTTAAAATGAATGCTTACCAATTTCTATCCGCCTGGCACCTGGCATAGTGGTTGGAGTTGGGAGGTAACATGGTGTGCAAGCAAAAGGTGTCTCGTAAGTCAGAAATGGCTGGCCCTTTCAGTAAGGGTGACACCATAATAAACAAGACCTTTACCTTTTATAGTTACATCAAAAATTGTACAACTGACATAAAAAAGTAATGGAAACCAAACTGATTCTAAATCTTTTATTTGGCTTTTGAAAAGTTTATTTCAGCAATTTTATGATTTTATTGACTCATAAAAATTATTGTTTTTAATAATGATTTATAGTAAAAAGGCGTTGAAAGACCTTGCTGTAATCTAAAGAAGAAAACAAATCATTTGTTTTTGAGGCATAATGTGCCGTTAAATGTTTTAATCATTTTTTATAATAATAATTTGAGGCACATCCTGTGCTTAATTTTCCTGTGTAGTAACTCTCATAATTTTTATCAATTTATTTAACTCCCTGAGAAAATACTCAATTCATGTTTTCATTAAAATAAATTTTAAAATCCATATTTTTCTATGTGTGATTAAAAAGTCCTAATCAAACAACAGTTAGCATAATACTAGCACATCATAATTCTTTACAGCAATGATTTTTCTGTGTTGACCAGTGGTCATCCCACCAATTAGGAACATGCACCATATTTCTGATTGGCTCTCAAGTTTTGAGGTTTACAATAAGAAAAATCAAAATTTAGTCATTTACATGTACCATTAAAAGTTACCGAGGACCGTGCAGCAAATTGAATTTATCAAGGGGAGAAATAATATAATTATCAAGGGGAGAAATAATATAAATTATTTTTTTATGTCTAATCAACATTCTTCTTTCTTTTCATCATGCTTTAAAACAATTATAGTATATAGAACTTGACAGTTATGTTGAATTATCATAGCCTGGGACTGCACTTCGGGTTTACTCTAAAGAAAATGTTCCCGTCCTCGATGTCAAGATATTTTTACAGTCTTGTTGCTATACTATAACTTTTACTTAACTGTTTTTATCCTCCCATGCTCTATTAATCACATATATTTCAGGGATGGATTCCTGGTGCCAGTTGTCATGTACACGTAGTGGACAGTGCCCTGAATCTCACTGTCAGTGCAAAGAAAATTTACCTGTCACTTCTACCCAATCATCTACAATAACCTTATCTTCTCCTTCTGCTTCTTCTTCAACAACAAGTACGCTTTCATCTTCAACAAGTACTAAAACAACACCATCTCAACAACAACAACACCACCCTCAACAACAACAACACCCTCAACAACAACAACAACATCAACAACAACAACAACAACTACTTCAACACCCTCCACATCATCATCAACAACAACAACAACATCACCCTCAACAACAACAACACCCTCAACTACTACACCTTCAACAACAACAACAACAACACCCTCAACAAAAACAACAACACCCTCAACAACATCATCATCAACAGCAACATCATCGACAACAACACCCTCAACAACAACAACACCCTCAACAACAACAACCTCAATGCCGTCATCATCATCAACAACAACAACAATGACAACACCCTCAACATCATCATCAACAACAACAACACCATCAACAACTACACCCTCAACATCATCATCACCACCACAATCCCCATCAACAACAACGTCAACATTATCAACAACAGCAACAGGCACACCCTCAACTACAAGCACATCTTCCTTTTCAACAACTAACACACCAAAAGTAACAACTGTAAGTTCAGGTATAGTATCAACAACAGCTGCTCCATTGATGAACCTAACAGGTATGACACTTTTTTCACACTTATAAATACTTTAAAATTAACTCTTTATTTAAAGGCCTATTATTTCCCAGACAGGCTTTTATTTCATTTCTAAAAAAAAATTGTATTTGGTCTCCAGAGTGTTATAGTTACTCATTTACCAATTAACTGAATCATATTTTGCTTCTGTTGTTTTCTGGAAATTAATACAGTTATAGTGATTAAGTATTTTGTATGGAAGACAAAAAACTACTTTGTTTACATTTTGCTACCTTTATGATAAATAATTCCACATTCAGAGCTACTATTTTTCAGGTTAAAAGCCTCAGTAACATGCTCAAAAACCACTATTTAAACATAAACTTATGTTTGTTTTTTTCTAAAGAAAGAAAATTTTATTTCTGAGGCAATATGTGCCCTTAAAACAATAAGATCTATACTAGTCATTATGTGGATTGTCCCCTACATCATATTCATGTAATTGTAGCAAAGTACAAAATTAATCTCCTGTTTAAGGTGATATTTAGTCGTATATTGGTATTTATTTTATTTAATTATTAATTCTCAAATACTAATATTTTCCCCTCTACTGGTATTATTATTATTATAATTTATTCTAATACTCATTGATATTTCTTTCAATAAAAAACAACATTTATTGTTTCAGATGTTGAATCACAAGGTGTTGTTAGTCAGGTAGTGTGTGACCATGCTAACACTGTGAACCATAATGTCCTTACTGACAGATACTGTAACCAACAAGGTAACTTGATTGTTATGATGGTTTATGATATTAATTAATTTTGAACTGAAAGAGTCAGCTAGATCTTCTAATAATGAAAAAGACCTAAAAAAATGTCAGTTACATTACAATACAATACAATACAATACAATACAATATTTTTATTTCTCTCAAGACATGCACAATATATACATGACAGCATGAGGTAACACAGAATAGAAAAGAAAAGAAAAGTAACTCATACAAGTTGCTTGTACATAATTCAAGTGTTAGTAGATTGGAGAATGTTTTTGAAACTTGAAACATGGCTGTGAGCCCAGTTAAGGTCAAACTGGTTATCCTGAATGCGTGCCAAAAGCAGACTGCTAGATTAAAATTTCAGTTGTATTACTAAATTAGTCAAAGCACTGGGAAAACTGTTTAATACAAAAAAGACAATTAAAAGTCACTCAACAAAAAATGATATAAATCTTATTCTTCTGGCATCGACTAATTTAATGACTACCCATGTGACCTTTGCCAACACATGTGCCGTCGGATAATGATCTGCAAAGTTCTGTTAGCTATTTCATCTGAGTACTTAATTTGACGTTTCCCCTATATATGATGATTCAGGTTTTGTCCAAATTGAAAGATGGACAAGTCCATTTAAAATATTAAAGGGGATAAAGGGTTAAACATTAGTTAATGTAAACTTTACAATTTGTGTATAGGTATCTTTCATTTTTTTCTCCTAAACAATAAAATTGATATGGTAAATAGTTAAATCATTGTTTACTTTATTTTTCAGGTACTACTGACTATAAAGGATATAATAATGGAATTCTAGGTATGTTTTTCATGTCTGAATTTCTTTGAAAGAATACCACATCATACTTTGAATGCTTGCAATGACATTGGCTTGCATGTGCAACCAGTATAGATCATGTGAAACCTTACGCTGGCATAATATTGGCAAGCATGTCTGTCTGTCTGTCTGTCTAATCATACTTTAAACTGTTTGTTGGTTTAAGTTGAAGCATATGTTGTTTGACCACTTAAGATAACAATGGTCATTCAAAATTCAAAGCACTGGGACAAGTTCAGTTTACAAATTAAGCAACATAGAATTATCATTAATGCATTTTGCAATCATCTCATCTATTTTAATCCATGAGGTCTCATTAAAGCTGATATGCTCCTATAATTTTAGATCAAAAGTTTATTCATATGACTGTCTTTTGGGTATATACCCCCTGCCTGCTGGCAGAAGCTGAATCTATCTATACAATCAGTGCAGACTATGATCATAGGGCACATCTATAACATCTGATCATGGTCTGCACTGTTCAATGTTCAATCAAATTACATAATTTGAAATTTTTCTTCAAAATTATCTGGTTTTGATTGGAAGATGGACAAATCCATTTAAGTTTTTTAACATCGTAAAAGTTAAAGCTACCAAAGTCAACACAACACAATTGATTTTCTCCATAATTACATAATTATTCTTGTTATTATACATAGGGGATATTGAATGAATATTTATTAAACAAATTGAATAAAATCATATTATAAGTTGAGCCTCTGGCGAGTATAACATTGTTTTATTCAATGAGTTCAATGAATTTAGTATTGAATGTGCATGAATATAATATTCAATTTATCACATATATAAGATAAGAACGGTAAACTGTTATAAAGATGCTATGTTTACATATAACGCAAATGACATCACATCAAAATGTTATTACATCGGTGTAATTATTACACTCCTGCATTGCAGTTTATGTCAGAAAAAGTTATTTTGATACATTTTTACCTTGTCTTAAGGTGCTAATTAATACATACTGCTTTATCAACCACATCTTTGCTCTTTGTGTTTTGATTCTAACCACAAGCCATCAGACTGTTGTAATATAATATTTATTAAATCAAATCTCTCTTATAAATGACAATTTCAACCCTTTTTTTCAGATCAAGTTCTTAGTTTTGCTCCAAAGATTTTATGTGCATTGACAAATACAGCGGGCAGAGGTGAAACCTGTCCTAACATGTTCTGTAAGTATAATTCATACCTAGTCTTAATTAATTCCGCGTTAACAGTTTGACCCATTCTACAGACTTTTTTCATACTGTCAAACCGTTACACCTTAGAAAGAGACCTTGCCCATCCAAAATTATCTTGATGTTTCTTTGACAAGTCTAATTAGTTGGACTAAACATGTACCCTGAAATTGATTTTCCAATGACTTTGATTTAAGCTTATGATTCAGCCCAGGTTCTTCCAAACAAAAAGTTAAATTTACTAATTGCACATTCTTAATGACGAATGTTAGGTCACCTTTCAGATTAGAATGATAATGTTTGTTTGTAGGAGTTTGCAAAATAAAATACTATTTCATGTCAACCCTTGAACTAATTTGAGCAATAATCAATTTTTTTGTTAGAGGAAAAGTTAGACAACTAAAGTGCATGTTTCTGAAACAAATTGAGACCACAACAGAGTCTTTCAAATTCTGTTTGAAAGACCCTGAATACAGTTAGTAAATAAGTGAGAAATTTAGGCCTGACTCCCTGAGACTGTAACAGTGAGAGACCCTGATTTATGAAGCTAAACATACAACCTTATTGTATCTGAGGCCTGCAGTTGCTTCCCCTGACATTATGGGAGATAACTGTGTGTGGCTAACAAAGGGTTGTTACTTTGATGATGTAAGAACTTTGAAACATCTGAAAATAGTTTCAAGTAGTAACTAGGCAGATTTGATATTGATTAAAAACATCTAAAATAATAAAGAATCAGGCAAAACTAGTAAGCTAAGAATAACACTATAATAATGTTTATGATCATGATGTTTCAACTTATTTTCAGAGCTCCAGGTGAGCTGCCTTTATTTCCCTTTCTGTTTTATACTTGTTCTGTTTTATAATTACAGGTGGGGAAAATCCATTGTCCCAGCAACTTATCAAGACAAGTTTGTGTTCTGTATGCCAGCAATTCTCTGAGACCCTTGCCCCAACCTGTGCCATGGCTTATTGTTCATAAAGATCAACAATGTGTCATGGCCTACTGTTCATAAATACCCATATAATTTACCATGGTTTATAACTTTATAGTTCATAAATGTCCACAATTTACCAAAATTGGCTTATTATTTTCAAATAACTAGTTTGTCATAAATATCTACCATTTGTCATGAGGTATTGTGAATAAATATGCACCATTTACCATGGGGCATTATCCTTAAATATCCAACATCTGTCATGGGCTATTGGATATAAATATTCTCAGTATGCCATGGGTTATTGTTAATAAATATGCATTATTTGCCATGGGGTACTATCCTCAGTATACCATGGAGTTATTAAACATGTATCATTAGCCATGGGGTTTTATTAATAAATATCCAACATCTGCCATTGGGTATTGGATATAAGTATCCTCCATATGCCATGGGGATTTTCATGGTGTTCTGCAACTTACTGTACATGATATCCCAAAGTTTGCCATGGTTTATGCTGATCAACAGGGTGTGTCATTAAAAATTACTTTTTGAAATTTCTGTGTATCTGGATTTACAAAAATGTCAATATTTTTTTATATTAAAAAAATTGTATGTTTATTTGGAATGAATTGGAGCCTCATTTAGTCCAAGTTTTTATAACAACACTTACTTTCAAACATGATTGTGTAAAAGGTTTTAAATAAGGGAAAAGAAAATCACCTGTACCAATTATTATTGTAAATTATATACTGGCATGCGAGCAGTTCCCGTACAAAAATCGTAGTTATTTAAATATTACTATCTATTACGCTCACTCACCAAAAAATGAATGTTACACATCAAAATTCGGCTCTTCACACATATTATGGAAATTCCATTATGTTCTAAACACAGAATAACTCTTAGTTATGAGGCCTCATATGGGGTACCAAAATTATCCATTATTTTGTATGAAGAGAAGTAGTTCCCGTACATAAAATATAACCCATTATTATTGTACAATGTTGTTATATATCGGACCTATTTTTTTATTTATAATTGTTGTAGAGACCATTATCCCAGAGGTAAATAGATGTAATTAAGGAGTTAGAGCATAGACTAAACGCTGATATCTATTACCTGGTACCATTACCCCCAACGCATTCACATGCAATGGCATCCTTGTATGCATGAAATTTTACTCAGTAAAGCCCTAAAATTATTTAATATAGTAATATAGATCAAAATTCTGATAATTAAACAGATTTTCGTCGCACTGCCTACTTATCTGTATATAGGTGGTGCAAGTGGATAACCCTTTAAGAGGCCTCACATGTAAGTATGTGTGCCCATGCGCGCGAAGTCGGAATCCCCCAAAGTTAACAAGGTCGCGTTTTGACAACGCACAGGTGAAAGTGATTTAAAATGAAATTTTTTTATACGTACTGTCGAGCTGACACTTAGATTTTGTGTCGTTTATGCATCTGCTTGATTTTATATCAATTTTTGAAGAATGCAAGAAAAAAATCAAGCGTTTAAACGAAAAAATACGGGTACTGCTTCTGTACGGGAACTGCTCGCATGCCAGTAGTAGTTTTCTGTATTGATTATACTTAATGATTTTTTTTATGTTTGTAATTCTTTCTTAATAAATTTCATTTGCTATTTAAAAGTAGTTATAGTATTACTTAACTTCCAACACATGCCTAAATGGTTACAAATCCACCTCCCCTTACCCCCCTCCCCCCCCCCCCCCCAAAAAAAAAAAAGAAGAAAAAAAAGTAGTACATGTAATAATAAAATATATTCTGCAATAGTAAACCTGTTTTAAATATTGTAGAGATGTAGATAACATCTGAAGATAAGCTTTGTAATATCCAAAATAGTCAAATATTCCTGTTCTGGTTTAGAATTTCTTTGGATGTAGCCATAAATTAACTTGCCACTCTAGTTTTTATGCTCCTCTAGGGGCATACAGTTGCCCGTCTGTCATTATGTTGTTCCATCTTACCTCCCTATAGTTTCTCCTAACAATTTTATCTGGTAGATACCTTGTATTGTCCTCTAACTTTGACGACAAGGTCACCTATGCGAAGATTTTAATACTTGCTCATAAGCCTTTCTTTATTGACAAACATCTGTCAGATCTGTTAAGTTACATACCTTGGTTGGAGTTGTACAGCCTTCAATTGTTAACAAAACAAGCAGATATGGAGAGGAATGATTGCTGTCAGTGATATGTCTTGATTTTGGCTTTTTACTGGTCACTCTCATAAACTGCTGTGAAATTTGGAAAACTTATTTAGACCATCACTTTAACTTAAAGGCAAGATATTGACCCTTGGCTAATATATAACTAACATATGTTATTGAAAATGAACTTGTAATGCATATCTTGAAAATAAAAATGTAGGCTTAGTAATACATAAAAAAACATTGAACATACTTTCAGGATTAATCCTGTTGTAAAACTTGAAATAACTATCTACTGCTCAAAGTTTATCAACCTCCACATTTGGAGGGGTTAACCCCCTTTTTATTAAGGAGTTTGCTGTTTTTGTCTTGATAAAAAGGGGTTTAACCAATCGTAACGTTGGGAGCTTGATAAACTTTGTACAATAGATAGTTATTTATTAATTGTTTCCAGATTGGTTTCTGAAACTTTGAATGTTTCTATTTTTTACATTCTTATTATGAACAAAAAACAAAACAAAACTTTTAATCAAAATAATTTTTATTGTGTGGATTTAATTGATAAAGATCATTTACAAAAAAACAACAATTCAGATACATGTACAATCAAATAACAAATACAGTCAATGTGAAATACAATTTTTAACAATCAACTTATTTTCATTAAAGAAAACAAGAGGGCCATGATGGCCCTGAGGACGCTCACCTGTATATAGGATATAGGCCCCCAGAGCTGGGCCAGTTTAAACCCCAGGGCTTTTATTTGAACAGACTCAGAAGAGTCACCCATTAGAAGATGTTTCACAATGTTAAGTTTTTACTACACACATATAATGAAAAACAATGATCTTTCCCCTCCCCCCCCCATCGGCAGGGCAAATTTTAACCCAAGGGCTTTTATTTGAACAAACTTGGTAGACACCCAAAAGAAGATGTTTCATGCTAAACATCTTAGCTCTAACTCATTGGGTTTTTTAAAAGAAGATTTTTAAGTTTTTACTATACACATATAGTTAAAAACAATGACACCCCTGGGGCGGGGCCAGTTTTGACCCCAGGGCTTTTATCTAAACAAAATTTGTAGACACTTACTAGAAGATGTTTCATGCTTAATATCTAAACTCTACCTATTTGGGTTTTTTTCAAAGAAGATTTTTAAGTTTTTGCTATACACATATAAGGAAAATCAATGACCCCCAGGGCGGGGCCAATTATGACCCCAGGGCTTTTATTTGAACAAACTTTGTAGACACTCACTAGAAGATGTTTCATGCTTAATATCTAAACTCTAGCTATTTGGGTTTTTTCAAAGAAGATTTTTTAAGTTTTTGCTACACACATATAAGGAAAATCAATGACCCCTGGGGCGGGGCCAGTTTTGACCCCAGGGCTTTTATTTGAACAAACTTGGTAGACACTCACTAGAAGATGTTTCATGTCAAATATCTAAGCTCTAGCTCTTAGGGTTTTTAAAAGAAGATATTTAAAGTTTTTTCTTTCGGTTGCCATGGCAACCAGAGTTCTGCATGGAATTAAATTCTTTGAACAACTTTGTTAAGGCTTCACACAAGGAACATCCCTGTGAAGTTTCATTATGATCTGCCTTATGGTTTCAGAGGAGATGTTGTTTTAAAAGTGTGAACGGACAACGGATGACATACGACAGACGACGGACGAAGAGTGATCCTAATAGCTCACCCCGAGCATATGCTCAGGTGAGCTAAAAAAGTGAAAATTTCTGTTGAATGGTGAAAAAATATGTACCATGTTTGAAAAAAATCTCGGAACATTTTAACAGCTTTTATGACAATTTTTTTTACATATTTCTTCATTAATGTGAAAAAAAAAGAGATTTTATTTGCATTAAATTGTACTTAAAATGTGAAAGAAAAATGACATTACTTAATATTATAAATGATATTTTACACTGAAGCATAGTCAAGATATACTTTTTGTTCCCAAGTTTGAAGCTGTGGGCCCTATGATCTAAATATAAATGGTACTGGAATGACCCCCCTCATTTATTACATGCAACAATTGTCAATAAAACAATAAGAGGTCAATGTTGAAACAGTGAAAGCATACATGCAAGAATATCTGGGCTGTGTCCTAGGACATCAGTCTTCAACCCACAGGAGGAAAAGCGGTTTCGGGAAAGGTTGATTGAGAACAGCGGACTGTGTTCTTGGACATCAACCAACCGGGATGGAGGAGGGTGGAAGGCGGAATTGTGGAAAACTTGATTGATAATATCAGTACATGGTATCATATCTGTATATTTTTCTAACATGATAGTAATAATGTTTGATCAACAAAAGACATACAATATTGCAGAGAAAAGTAATGACTTCAATATAGGGCAAGTGCGGACTATTTTGTAGTGTCTTTTAAAAAAAAAGGCTCACTTACAATAACAATAATCTACAACCTCAAGAAACCAAAAAATAATAATAATAAAAAATACATGTATCACATTTAATATCTATAAAGCAACAATAAGCTATTATTCAATATCTTACACACTATAACATATTAACATACAATTATCACACTAACAGTGCCATATGTAAATTGGCGACTGATCACTTAATTTACAAACTCATATGCGCTGTCGAAAAAGTAAACAAACATGAAGGACCAAGTATGCATTCATAATTGGTGATTCTTAAATCACACTAACATGATGATCTATTAGCAATTAAAATATCCAAATCTCTGTATTTGTCACATATTTGCAGGCACTTCATCTCACGGAAGTTAAACATGATATTATCAGAATAAAAAGATGTCAATGTCTCTCACAGATATTAAGTTGAACAAATTAAACCCCAAATATTCAGCTTATTGTTAATTTCAAAGCATTTAAGCTGGCTCAGTATTCAAAATATAACTGACATATTCATTTAGACTTGCATATACTGTACTGAACTGATGTCTAGGTCACTTTTGGAGGTGTTTGGAATTACTGGTTAGTTATTCAGTCAAGACGGTTGTGTTAAAATATCAGTAAATACCAGATAAATATTAACACAAATTACAAGCATATTGTCATCTTATGTTATTAATGAGTTACGTGAATTTAACGATTTACATGAAACAATAAGATATCGTTAATGATTAACATAAAATAAGATATATTTGATGATTTACATGGAACAATAAGATATATCGGAGACAGCTTAACTATAATCTTTTTATTATTTAGCCTAGGCAAGTTTTTTAAAATAATGTTATTGAAATACAACCTATTGGATTATTTTTTGTGCTTAAGTTACATTTTTTTTAAGTCACACTGACCTCGGGAAAGTGTGCCTTCTAATGGCACATTTTGAAAGGAACTAACAGTATGCAATTCCTACTAAATTTCAGGGAATCTGGAAATAAATCTGCAAATGAACTCTCTCCTTGAAGTTAAACTCATAATTATGAGAGACCTTATAAATATAATATAATAAATAAAATAATGTAACAAATGTAACAATCATTACAAACTAACAGTGAACAAATCAATGTTCCATTGTACAAATTAACTATATTTTGTTATCAAATACAGGTAAAATATGCAGCCATCATTTGTGTTAATTGTTTAATCGAAGATACTATCAGTTAACCAATTAAACGATGATCAAGATGCACCGTCAATTCTAAAAGTTGACAATAACTTGAAAAGAATCATTTGGAATAAAAAGGTTTCGGAATTACCTATTTTTTCTCTCTATTATTTCTTTTATGATAGAATAAAAATAATTGTTTTAGAAGAAATTAATTCAATTATGAAAGGATTTTAGATTACACGTGCTCAGATGAACAAAGTTTTACTTTACTGTCAATTTGATAAGCCAATTAGCACAAATGTGGCTACCTTCATATTTTTCAATTTATAACATAAAAAATATTAACAAAAATATATTCAATCTCACATACATGTATATACATTTAGAGCAAAAAATCATATGTATATCCAAACATTATTACTTAGATAGTATGCTTGACTATTTTTGGTGCTTTTTGACATTTTAAATGGCAAAACAAGGACCATTTAGGATTCTCAAAGGGGATCAACTCAGTGATAAACCATGCCCTAATTAAAGATTTCCCATTAAGGATTTACAATTATAACCTTGAAATTATAGTTTTATAAAGTTTCGAATGAATACATTCAGTAGTTGCGGTTTGCATACAACAACCTTCACTTTCCAATGTTTTCAGTGGACAATGTAATAATTCATTTTAAACTCATCAGTAATAGTTTATCTTGGTCAGCGGCTTATAATAATCACCCTTATGACAGGTGTGAAATCTCATTCTTAGTTAACCAAGGGGTATAATTCAGACAAAATTTTTGTTACAGTTATGGGTCTTGGACAGTGACCAACATTTATGATCCTGGAGTTTGAGATATAAATATACACACAAAAAACCTTAACCAAGTGTTATGCAAACTTAACACAACAGTGAGTCTAAAAGCTCCCACTATTTTACAAATTAGCCAAGCCATTCAAATTGCACACTGAATATAACAATTAAATTACAAATGCAAAATATAACGCTAATATAAATAGAAAATATCAATTAGGAAAAAAATAGAAAAATCACACACAAAATATGTTAAACAAAATCACATTCACTATACTTTTGAATTGTTCGTGTTTGTTCAACACTATCTTGATGCATACATTTATTTCTTATATTCTTTAATATTGTTTTTATTCTTTAATATTTTTTTTATTATCTTTTTTATTTTTTTAAGTTCTATATTTTGAAAATTTATACATATACTGGTGCCCAGCTTATAAATAAATATAGGGACAAACCCTTTATTACACATAAGCAGTTTACTATTACCCCATGCAAGTTGAGTGCTTTAGCAGATAACCCTATAGATACATATACTGGTGCCCAGCTTATAAATAAATATAGGGACATATCTTGATTTCTTAACCCTTTATTACACAGAAGCAGTTTACTATTACCCCATGCAAGTTGAGTGCTTTAGCAGATAACCCTATAGATACACTATACAGTAAAGTAAATCCATATAAACACTTTACAGCACCTTGATATTTAAATCCCATTTAACTAAACCCAAATTGATATTTATAAACATAATATACATCACAAAATTTCGAAACAATATGAGCTAAATCCCCTTTATAATCTTTACACAGTGAAAATCAATGTGTTTACTGCAAAATGTTTGATATACATTGTATGTAATCAAGAGGGAGTAAACAAATATGTAAAAATAGAACTCTCTTGTAAAAATCTGGCACCTAAGCCAGAGATAAGTAACAAATGAGCCGCGTCCCGACAAAACCAACAAAGTGCGTTTGCGACCAGCATGGATCCAGACCAGCCTGCGCATCTGTGCAGTCTGATCAGGATCCAAGTTGTTCGCTATCAGCTTCTCTACTTGTAATAGAGTTGGTAAGCGAACAGCATAGATCCTGATCAGACTGCGCGGATGTGCAGGCTGGTCTGGATCCATGCTGGTCGCAAACGCACTATGTTGGTTTTGTCTTCAGGCCGCTCAAATATAGAATGTCTTATAATCATAGCTAAAGTAATGAGTATTAATATGAGAGATCTTTCAAGGGGGGATAGATTAATAAAACAGAGAGCCAATGATTGTTCAAAAACTAACATTATGTAATAAATAAGTAACAAATATATCTTACATTGCCAGCATTAGATTCTTCAACATTAATAGGAATGTTCATTCAAATTAAACACAAAATTATTCAAATAAAACACAAAATTATATAAATGAAGGTGAATAACAGTATGTTAAGGCCCCTGAATTGTTCAAGATTTAGAAAAATATGCAATATTTTTTGGACTAGTCTTTATTTAAATGCATTTTGATTTTTATATATAAAAAATGCTTTTTAAATAAAAATTATTTTTTTTAAGTAAACCTGAAAATTTTGTTGGTGATAAAGGACTCAACATTGCCAGAATTTGCTATATAGAGGAGAATAAAGCCTGTATGACAATGAAATCTGACCAGAGGTTAGCTGCCCGATTTAAGTTATCTTAATATGTAAATCCCTAAAAAGGAACTCCATTGAGGTTTATGACATGATGGGACAGGAAATATTTTTCCGTGATTTATGTACCAATTAATGGAGGTCTGGATCAATAACTTGTGTGCAAACTTTCAGGTCTTTCCTTTTCCTGTTTTACCAGAATAATCAATTGAGCCGTGTCACGACAAAACCAATATAATGGGTTTGCGACCAGCATGGATCCAGACCAGCCTGCACATCCACGCAGTCTGATCAGGATCCATGCTGTTCGCTATCAGTTTCTCTACATGTAATAGGGTTGCTAAGCGACGTGACGTGACGTGGCTCATTTTATTGTGCAAAATGACCCAAAAATAAAAAGTGTTCTGGTAAAACAGGGAAGGGAAAGACCTGAAAATTTCCATGTTAACTTATTGGTCCAGACCTTGATCAATTGGTACACGAATTTACTCAATTTCGCTTAGAATTATGCAAAAATCAATTTACAATTTTATACCTAGTATATTTCCTTGTTATTCTTTGCAGAATTTTCAATTTAAAGTGCTTCTCTTGATGTTTGTTAGATTTTCAAATTTTATCTTTTTAGGGAGAAGTTCCTTTAACCTTATAATGAACTGTTCTAAATCATAAGGACAGGCCAAGTCCTAAAGTTAAAATTAAATTTTCTTCTTAGTTGTACGACTTATCCTTTTAACATCCAATATTTTATGCTATATGGCTTTTATACATTTAATATACCAACAGGCAATAGGTATATAACAAATTAAAATCTGAATCAAAATTGGGGTGAAAATTGTCATTTATAACTATTTCATATAAAGGAATGTGCTTTTATCTAAAGAAAATTCCATCATACATTTAAATTTGAAATAATAATATAGTTGTATATAAAATATCCAGCCACCATATGGAGACAGTCATTTATACTCTCTAAAATGTCTCTATTACCAAAGGTTATTTCATTGTAGCCTTATGAAATGACTTATTATGGTGTTTTGATTTTAGTAAAATTAGTAGAATGAAACGAATGTCAGTTGTGTTATCACATATAATAAACCAACAGTTTCATATGTATGGTTGTCATAGGTACGGTTGTCATATGTATGGTTGTCATAGATACGGTTGTCATAGGTACCGTTGTCATAGGCACGGTTGTCAAGGTAAAGTTAATTCACAGCATGGCCATCATCTGGAAAAACAAAAAGTAGAAATATTTCTATAAATAGTCATGACATCATATATAATCAACTCACAACTATATTGAGAGTTGATTGCAAAACTGTTGTAAGTCCTTCTTTATTTCATACTAGTTACTGCAGTTTTGTGGTCAACCCATAATATATCAAAGCGTCAAATATATAGAGGACATTGTTAAGTTCAGTGTAAGATTGGGATATATTTCACCAAGTGAGCACCGAAAGGTATATATCACGAGTGGCACAGCCACAAGTGAAATATGAACTTTTGGTTTTCACAAGTGATCATATGAAATATATTTCGATCTTACACTTAACTAAACAAATTTTCTTTTTATTATATGAAAAGGAACGTTTAAAAAGACATCCTTATGTAATGCTAAATGAAAAGCGCCCCAAATAATAATACAACATGACATTATTTACGACAACACTTCAGTAAGTTGGTTTCCAGTTCTGTGCATACTGGTATTTCACTGGAACAACGTAACAGGCTTAACTTCAAAACAGTGAAAAATATCAAATTGATAATTTCACTGTTTCAAACAGTGAAATATCCACTTGTTTATTTCATGGATATATTTCTATAAACTACCGAAAAGTATGTAATAAAACACTAAGATTATAAAAATTAAATATCACTACAACATAAATTGTTCAGAAAATGGGTCAAAGACAGAAAATGCAGTTTGCATTTTTATACCAAATATCATGATGCTGTGATGTTATAAAAAAAAAAATTAACCACTGACCATTTATGTTGAAAATTTAACTATGTTGGTAAACAGAAAGTGGATGTGGGACAGACCTGAAACCAACTCTCACAGTATTGGACCACATGTCAATGCTGTGTGCCAAATATCAAGAGTAGTTGCTGAGAAAACTGTTACGAAAATATACAACCATTTACCATTTATGTCGAAATTTTAAGTCGGTAAACAGAAAGTGGATGATGGACAGACCTAAAATCAATCCCAATGTATGGGACCATGTGTCAATGCTGTATGCCAAACATCAAGAGGCTGTAATAAGGAGTTGCAGAGAAAACTGTTACGAAAATTTCCTTCCATTGACCATTTATGTTGAACATTTAACTAAGTCGGTAAACAGGAAGTGGATAAGCAACAGACCTGAAATCGAATCCAACGATATGGGACCATGTGTTAATGCTGTATGCCAAAAATCAAGAGGCTGTGATAAGTAGTTGCTGAGAAAACTGTTATGAAAAGTCCCCCCCATGCAACCCGGCCACAAAATGGAGCTAAATTAATTACACTACAGTAACATGGTTAAGGCAATGAATATGCAACCAGTATAAACTTAGACTAAAGTTGTACATTAAAGTTGTACATATATGACCTATCACTGAGCTGCTGGTTATTTAATTTTGGCCTATTTATTTCTTAAATTACTTTCAAATAAAAACTGAAAGTAAAAAATGCTAAAAGCCCAAGTCCATTTCACAGTGAGTGTATGACCATGTTTAATGTCAGTGTTTCCAAAACAATCTTTCAGCAATATAGGCAACTATGTCTTCTACATGTAGTAGAAAGATCCTTTTACAACAATATTGCAGAAAATTTAACAATTAACCACTTCCAGTCACATCATATTTACAAAAAGCTGACTAGTCTTTTAAACTACCCCCTTAACACTGACAGTCCATCAAGGAAGTCACTGGCATCATTTGTATTATGGGTTTTCAACAAAATACAATTATTTTGTATGGTAAACATTTAAATTACACACTATTACCTCTATTACCCAGGAGTCTTTCTCTCTCGCCAGTGTTCCTATCATTTTGATTGACCTCTCTCATCTCACGCCTACGTCTCCACCATGGCATGATGATAATATCATTGTATAACATCATTCCTAGTATCAGCAATATAAACCCTACAACCTGAAATATAATATACAAAATTGTCATAGCAATCAGCAATATAAACCCTACAACCTGAAATATAATATACAAAATTGTCGTAGCAATCAGCAATATAAACCCTACAACCTGAAATATAATACACAAAATTGTCGTAGCAATCAGCAATATAAACCCTACAACCTGAAATATAATACAAAAAATTGTCCTTTCAACCAGTTATATAAAACCTACAACCTGAAATATACACAAAATTATCCTTTCAACCAGTTTTATAAAACCTACAACCTGAAATATACACAAAATTGTCCTTTCAACCAGTTATATAAAACCTACAACCTGAAATATACACAAAATTGTCCTTTCAACCAGTTATATAAACCCTACAACCTGAAATATAATACAAAAAATTGTCCTTTCAACCAGTTATATAAAACCTACAACCTGAAATATACACAAAATTATCCTTTCAACCAGTTATATAAAACCTACAACCTGAAATATACACAAAATTGTCCTTTCAACCAGTTATATAAAACCTACAACCTGAAATATACACAAAATTGTCCTTTCAACCAGTTATATAAAACCTACAACCTGAAATATACACAAAATTGTCCTTTCAACCAGTTATATAAAACCTACAATCTGAAATATACACAAAATTATCCTTTCAACCAGTTATATAAAACCTACAACCTGAAATATACACAAAATTATCCTTTCAACCAGTTATATAAAACCTACAACCTGAAATATACACAAAATTGTCCTTTCAACCAGTTATATAAAACCTACAACCTGAAATATACACAAAATTATCCTTTCAACCAGTTTTATAAAACCTACAACCTGAAATATACACAAAATTGTCCTTTCAACCAGTTTTATAAAACCTACAACCTGAAATATACACAAAATTGTCCTTTCAACCAGTTTTATAAAACCTACAACCTGAAATATACACAAAATTATCCTTTCAACCAGTTATATAAAACCTACAACCTGAAATATACACAAAATTGTCCTTTCAAACCAGTTATATAAAACCTACAACCTGAAATATACACAAAATTATCCTTTCAACCAGTTTTATAAAACCTACAACCTGAAATATACACAAAATTGTCCTTTCAACCAGTTTTATAAAACCTACAACCTGAAATATACACAAAATTATCCTTTCAACCAGTTATATAAAACCTACAACCTGAAATATACACAAAATTGTCCTTTCAACCAGTTATATAAAACCTACAACCTGAAATATACACAAAATTGTCCTTTCAACCAGTTTTATAAAACCTACAACCTGAAATATACACAAAATTGTCCTTTCAACCAGTTATATAAAACCTACAACCTGAAATATACACAAAATTGTTTTTGCCTCCTGTAGTATAACAAAGGCTGTCTGTACTACAGCATGCTTGACTATTGTAAGTACTTGTCTGGTAGTGGGGATAATAGTCACTAACAAATACACAAAGATTCAAAGCAATACCTCAAAGGGAATGGGGTAACAAGTGAAATAATACATGAATGTATGTTTACATGGGCTATCTAACAGATTGTGTTAAAATATATGGCTAAACACATTAGCCTATATATTGTTGAACTTTCTAAATGGATTTGTCAAGCTGACTTGTTTTTGGAACTGTCAATCTCATTAATTTTTGGGAAATCAAAAGAAAAATTTTATGTTGTCAACCAACAGTGCAGAGCCTGGTCAGAATGCTCAGATGTACAGACTGGCCTAGCTCCAAGCTGGTGACAAAAGGCTTATCATTTGTTTGTTTGTTTGATTGGGTTTCACATCACACCGACACAGTATAGGTCATATGGCGATGTTTCAGCTTTACTGGTGGAGAAAGACCTCAAGATTATCATTTAACGTTCCAGTAGTAGAAATAATGTTGACAGAAGAGGTTAAGTGTTAAATACCTGTAAATATTGGAAATCCTGCCAGGAAAGTGACAGTGTTACAGCCCAGATGACCAGTGTTCGAACACTATCCAACACCATCCTTGTTGTGGCACTCAACTCTCTAGTTACACTGATACCAGCAAAATTGAAAAATGCTATGCTCATTATATTACCTGGGGAGGAGAAAATATTGACATTATAATACCTGTGTCAAAAGAATACATTTTTTGATAACAAATTACATGTGGAGAAAATATTTTTTTGCTTCAATGAGTAACAAAACCTGGTAAGTAACAGTATTCTTAAAGATACAGTCACTACATCTATGTTTCAAAGTTTTATCACTGATTGAGTTGCTGATTTGAATTTTCCTGTTTTTTTTTTTTACAAAATGAACGAGAAATCACATATGTTGAGTGTACAGCAATAACATACTTTATGAGAATTGAGGAAAAATTCAACAATGAATAAAGAATATTAAATGTATCTTGAAATCTTTTAACTAATGCTTATCAGCATAACAAAGTTAGATATCGTATCGGTTTTCTGTATTCCAAATGACAATTTAATATAAAACTATAGATGATCTGAAAGAAATATTATACATGTATATCTATCAATGATATTAAAACTAGTTTTTGTTACTTAAATTCGTTACATCTCACTCCTCTTTTCCTGGACAAACCAGGAAAAAAAAAATGAACTGAACCCCTTGGAATGACTGGACCTCAGAATAAAATCCTCACATAACAATCCCAAGACCACCACTTTCTGATGTAATTTATATGTCCATCTACCTCTGTTTTCATTTTTTTACTATGATACTGTAACATACTATTCATTTGAGCCGCATCATGACAAAACCAACATAATGCGTTTGCGACCAGCATGGATCCAGACCAGCCTGCGCATCCGCGCAGTCTGATCAGGATCCATACTGTTCGCTTACAATCCCTATAACAAGTAGAGAAACTGATAGCGAACAGCATGGATCCTGATCAGACTGCGGGGAGGTGCAGGCTGGTCTGGATCCATGCTGGTCGCAAACCCATTAAGTTGGTTTTGTCATGACGCGGCCCATTTACTTTTTTGCTTCCTCTTACCAACTGTAGCTAAAATGATTCTCCAATTGTTTCCCATCTGTACGAATGCATCGTGTACGTTCTCCAGTCTATTTCCTGCCGCATGACTGAAACTTCCAGCATCAATGTAGTAAAAAGGTATCAACAATAATCCTAAAACAAGGGCCCCGAAAAGTCCTGAAAACCAAGCACAGAATTAATATAGCTGTCACTTTAAAATAAAACTGCCCACTGTCTTGCTTAAGAAGCCCTAAGAACTCCGCTACTTTAATCAGTGGACCAAGGAAAAGAACTGTTTGTACAGTTGTTTTTTTTAAAGTTATTTTAAAAGGCATATATTTGTAATACCGTTAATACTTGTACTTTATATTTCTTCACACATTTCAGTAGATCTTTACATAGTTTGCTATAAAAAACTCCTGTTATTCTTAAAATATAAAACAAGAGGGTCATGATGGCCCTGGATCGATCACCTGAAATACATTGCTAGAAAAAGGTCAAAACCACTAACAAGAGGAAACATTGGGTTTGTCATTCATTTTCTTCTCGAAGCTGCATTAATGTAAATAAAGATGAGAAGTAGTTAAAAAAATTAAAATAATCTGATTCTATGATACTTGTGTTATAGGTCAAAATCTTGCTTGGAGACACAGATTTTGCCATAAATAAGTAATATATGTAAGTACACTGCAGTACTTACAGTAATTTGAACTAAAGTTTTCACCATAGTGCAGTAATAGGTTAACTCCTATTAACTTATATATAGAGTTAACCAGTTACTGCACTAAGGTGATGAAATGAGTGCACATTGTATGTGTGGATTTTTACACTCTCAACTTATTGGTAAATGTAACAAAATGAGGAATAGAACAAAACAGAACAGAAGTTTATTTAAGATTTAAGCATACAGCTTATTGTTATAACAACTCATTCATACATACAAATCATACGTAATAAGAATTTTCACTTTAACAATAGAAATAGAGACAATACCTTCATATCCGACGGCTGCCAGAGGTTGTACATTAAATCTTCCGATCACACGTTCTTCATACACCATCTGTACCGAGACTATCACCTGAGCCATAATGATCAGTAAATCACCTACAATATATTAACATTTTATACCTAACTCCTCACAGTGATTACCTCCCTTGGCAGAATTGTAATCACTGCCTTCACAGATGTCACATAATGATGAAAGTCACATGACGTAACGTCGAAATACAAATGTAAATATCGACCATTACATAGAAAATCTAACGTCATTTTTCTCTTTCTGTTTTATTTTTAACTTTTTGAACCTACATCTGTTACATTTAAAAAAAAATTTATCAAAAGAATACTTACTTTTAAATCTGAAAGCACAAATCAACCAAATAAATTTGAAATCCCCTATGTTGAACTAAGTTATGTAAAACAAAAACTGAACAGTCTCGATATTACGAAAGCAACAGGCTTAGATGGCATTAGTGCAAAATTTCTAAAAACGGCAGCAAGTGTCATAGATAAACCCCTTTGTACCATAATAAACTTAAGTATTAAAACTGGAAAATTTCCTACACAGTTAAAACAATCAAAGGTAACACCAATCTACAAGAAAGGCCTCAAGTCTGACAAAAACAACTATAGACCAATTTCAGTTCTCCCACTTATCTCAAAAATATTTGAAAAACATGTTTCTGACAACTTGAAGCTATTTTTAGAAACAAACAATTTCCTCTACACAGCTCAATCAGGCTTCAGGGCATACCATTCATGTGAAACAGCACTTACAAATTTAATTGATAATTGGATAAATGCACTTAATGATGGCAAAATTGTTGGAACTGTTTTTCTGGACTTATCTAAGGCCTTTGATTTAGTTAATCACAAAATTCTTATTGAAAAACTACCCTTCTATCATCTTTCCTCACACACTATTTCTTGGATTACATCATATCTGTCAGACAGGTCACAAAAAGTAAATGTGTCTGGTGTTTTATCAGAATCTGCTGAAGTTGTCTCCGGAGTACCCCAGGGCTCAGTCCTAGGGCCCCTACTATTCTTAATTTACATAAATGACATACATCTTCATATAAAAAAGTCAAATACTGATATGTTTGCAGATGACACTTCTCTAACTTCAACTGGAAATACTATAAGGGAAGTAGAAGATAATCTTCAATCAGATCTTGATAGTATAAGCACATGGTGTGTACAAAATTCAATGATACTAAATGCACAAAAAACTAAAGCTATGAATTTCTCAATAAAGCATTCAAAATCTGAGCATACTTCAACACCTTCTCTTAACCTTCACAATCAAGAAATAGAATTTACAGACAATGAAAAAGTACTAGGAGTCTATGTTGACAAAAATCTAAAATGGAAAACACACATTCAAAAAATTATTAAAAAATGCAATTCACAGCTCTATTTGCTTCTTAGAATTAAACAATATCTTGATCTTCATGCTAGAAAACTTTTCTTCAATGCATATATACTGCCACATTTGGACTACTGCTGCACTATTTGGGGAAACTGCAGCAGTGATTTACTCTCACAAATAATCAAATTTCAAAAAAGAGCTGCTAGAATAATTTTGGACAAAAATTTTGATGCCCCATCAAATGAACTATTTAAAGAACTAAATTGGATGTCCTTTGACCAAAGAATCAGATACAAAAAGGCAATTCTAATGTATAAGTCAATAAATGAACCATCCTTTCCTAAGTATATGAAAAATAAATTTCAAACAGTAAATGACAGACACAACTTTAATTTGAGATCTGTCCAAAATGAAAAACTAATTGTACCTAAACCAAAAACAGAGTGTTTTAGGAAAACACTTAATTACTCTGGGCCTACAATATGGAATGACATTCCAATACATGTTAGAAATTCTGAAACTTTGAAAAAATTTCAAGCCAACTATATTCATTGGCAATTTTCCATTTAAATTATATATGTCATTTTTCCATTTTTTTTACATATGTCATTTTTCCATTTTTATTGTGTACATAGCTTTCTAAATATGATACCAGGATGACTAACTGTGTTGTTTTTTAACATTAATTGTATTTTTCAATATTGAAGTTTTTGAAAATGCCACAAAGTGTAAAAAAAAAAAACAGTTTATTTCTTAAATGATGTTTTGTAAATGTTGACTGTATATAATTTATGTCACATTGTATTTATATGTTGTTATGTTACATTGTATGTATATGCTGAGGCCCACATGGAAGATCGGGAAACCGAATGTGCTAGCCTCATTAAATAAAGTCGTTACTTACTTACTTACTATATAGTGAGTGAACAGGCGAGTCAAAATAAGTTGGGGTTTTTTTGCCATAATTGACATAATGCCAGAGAAGAGATTGCTCCGCCCACTGATTCACGTGACGCGGTCATTCAAAACCTTAGACAAAACAAGGTACCGACATTTACAGGAAACTATTTTGCCACTAAAGTTACTAATGAATTTACCTTATATAATTGGTATATACAAAAGTTTAATGCTTTTCTTGAATAGTTTAATGTATTATGGTATTTAAACAAAAGTAACAAATAACTTCATTCATGCATTAATTATGAATAAAACGGTTGGCAAAGATCTTGTTATATTTCTTGTTGAATTCAAGGAAGATGTTACTGACAAAATATCATTTTAGTTTACAAATTCAAAGAAAGTTAAAATTTAAGTAGAGGAACATATAAATAGTAAAATTATATCAATAACACAGTAACATTTACAAATGTTTTTAGGGTTTTATTGTGCGAAATCATTTATATATAATGCATTTGTGCATTAATTGTTAAAATTTCATCATTATGAGAAAATTGCCCTTGCGTAACTTTGTAGTATAATATATGATTATATGTATATTTATACATTGGATACGTTTTGTGATAAAACACAATATTATTCACTTCAAAATAAGTTTAGCATACACCAGACGGTGAGACCTCAGTTTTAAATTAAAACCGTGATCAGGTATGATGTTATTGAAGCAGATGTATCGAAATATTTAATCTTAATTCATTGAGCTTTAATAGAAATATATAGGTAGGATTATATGACATACAATATTCATAGCATATTCTCTCATTTTATTTGCAAGAACTTTTGTCTACTGCAGCATTTTATTGACACTTTGTTTAGAACAAACAAAAATGTCATATCAGACCTTATAATATATTATATGATTATGAATAGACATAATTGTAATAAAAGAAGGAATAGAGTATTTGTTTAATTTTTTCCTTGTTTAATGCATTGTGGTATAGCCAGGCTTCATAACCTCTGATCGCCATTCAAAATTCCATTTTATTTAGTTCCGCCCATTGTTTTCTCGTTTAGGGCACACGCATTTTTTTACTTGGGGACCTTATGCCGCTTTTCATGGAATGGCACTTACGTGTCACATTGAAGGTTCCATGATAACCACCATATGAACACATCTGCGGATGTTTCAAAATTCAAAATTTTACAAGGTCACGTTATATGTTGATTACAGCTTAAGCCGGTGCTAGGGGGCGCAGACGGTTACTTGCACATTCCATTACCGTCCATGAACAGACTCAATCAAACCGAGCTGGCAACACTTTTAATTTTGTCGTTTTGTACGTTCTTTAGGGATTCTAAATTTTAACTTTCGTCAGAGATGTAGACAACATCTAGATAATATCTATGTCTCTGCTTTTGTACCTGCTATATAACTTATTATCTTCATATATACAAAGTTACTGATATTTTTTTGTAAAATGAACTAACTGACTCCATCTGTCAATATGTCAGGATAGTTGGTAACTTTGATATACCGATTTAATAGCTTTAAATTGACAAAAATCAAAATAATTTCAATATAAATACTGCTGCACCATTGTCTTATACAAATAGCTTGTCTAAGGAAAATGGCGGATTTTGCAGACATCTTAGCGTGAAACTGATAACGATCGCCGATTGGCTTATCTGTAAGACCCCTGCCAGCTTGATTGACAGGCGGCGTAATGTCAATTCCTTTCATTGTTATAATTTAGTTCACATGAATGAGAAATAATATGCGTGGCCCATGGGAATTTCTGTAAATACTCATTGGAATTTATCGGTAATGAGTGAGTGGGACAGTTATTTTATATTTGAGGTAGACTTATATTTTATCGTAAAAAAATTCCAATATCAACTGTTGGCCAATCACTAGTATAACAGTTAATCTTTAGAAATATACATGTATATAGTCAATTCAGTTCAACTTGCCAATGAAAGAATGAGCATAATGTCACTTTAAAGAAAGTTAGAACAATAATAAGATCAAAATTTCAGATTATTTGAACACTTAATCTTTTCAGATTTATTATTTTAATTTATTATTCTGATTGTGAAAAATAAAAGACCAAAAGTTAAAAGCTCAAATCTGGCTAATAATAATGTAATAATTCAATTTTTTTATATATATTTTTAGACTTTTGGATTGTAGTGCAGTTCCTTTGATATCAGTGCTGTGAACATAAAAAATTCAGTATGGTACGATTTAAATAGAACTGGTAAAAGGACAAACAAAATCTGTCCATAAGACAGCCTTCTTGACTAGCTCGTTTTTTTTCTCTTTGAAACAGACAAGCTAAAAATGCTTGTACAAACTGCCCCAAATAAAACAATCTAAAAGTGCATGTACAAACTGCCCCAAATAAAACAATCTAACAGTAAGGATGTACCTGCTATAATGCCGTTAGTGTTTGTGCTCGGCCCATCAGGTGACCCAAATACAATATCTGCCAGTCCAACCAACAACAGACCTAATAACACAGTAAACATTCCTACCCACATGTGTTTACGTATCACACGGCCTAGAAACGCCACAGATAATAATGCCGTGAAGATAATGACTGCACCTGTAATGTAAGACAGTAATATAATAATATATAATAATATAATAAATAAATATTACATATGTTTATTTGAAAAAATAACAAACATTTTGTATTGCTGACTTCTCTACCATTAGAAATTGTTATTTTTAGAATTTAACATTTATGTTATGGCAATCAATAAAATTCTCATCCAATATGACGTACTTCATTATTACGGAGATAGAAAATTTTATCAATCACTGTACATTTACACAAGGTGATAAAGAAAAGTATCGTCATTTTCAAAAATTCTAAACTTGAAATAAATGTAGATTTATCATTATTCCTGGGTAACTAACCACTACATACTTATATCTCCGCAAGTGACCAACTACTTGTACTTATGATTCATCACACATGACTTTTGATGATTTGGATTATCTAACTAATGACTATAAGATATGAGCCGCGCCATGACAAAACCAACATAATGGGTTAACGACCAGCATGGATCCAGACCAGCCTGCGCATCCATGCAGTCTGATCAGGATCCATGCTGTTCGCTATCAGTTTCCTTACATGTTATAGGGTTTGTAAGCGAACAGCATGGATCCTGATCAGACTGCGCGGATGCGCAGGCTGGTCTGGATCCATGCTGGTCGCAAATGCACTATGTTGGTTTTGACGTGACGCGGCTCATATGATGTTAGGAATCAATAATCACATAGAAATTTTGTCTTGAGCAACGATCAACCTAGGACCCCTCTATTACAAATCCAATGTTCTCCCTATTTAATGGAAGATTTGTAATAGCCAAACATGGAATTAAGAATATTTTGGATTTTCCCCAGCTAATCCAGGGTTACAAACAAACTTTCAAGGTTACAACTTCGAAAATAAGCGTTGACTTATCTATTGTGACTGTAAATGCATCGTGAAGTTCCAACAGTAAAAGTTTGTATTGGGCAATAAGCTCGGAAAAATCTGCATTTGCCGAGTTCCGGATATAATCCATTGACAAAAGATTAAAGTAAATCATTATATATATATATTACAACCACGTTATGATTACCTCTTAACATCTGAAAACTTGAGGCGTAAGTTAGATTTAGCCCTATATACATTATAGAGGTTCCACACATGTCTAGCATGGCTGCTGGCAGGAATATTAAGGGGTTAAATGACCTTGGCTGCTCGCCTTCTACAGGTTGTTGAGGTCGACAACAAATCTTAATTATATAATAAGCTACCAGACAGGTGAACTCTCCTATAAACATGCCCACAGCCTGTAACAGATACAGATTATAATTATTTCAAACATGTTTAGTAGTATAAAATATATATGAGCCGTGTCATGACAAAACCAACATAATGGGTTTGCGACCAGCATGGATCCAGACCAGCCTGCGCATCCATGCAGTCTGATCAGTATCCATGCTGTCCGCTTACAGACCCTATAACAAGAAAAGAAACTGATAGCGAACAGCATGGATCCTGATCCGACTGCATGGATGCGCAGGCTGGTCTGGATCCATGCTGGTCGCAAACCCATTATGTTGGTTTTGTCGTGACCCAGCTTATATATTGCTTATAGATAAATAAAAAACAAACATGATAATTAAGGTATTAAGCCCTTAATTTTAGTAAGGCAAAGGAAGATAAGAAGATTTAAACTAGCCAGAAATTTTTTCTTAAACATTGCATCAATAAAAAGAATCGTCACTGAATCAAATTTATGAAGGAAAAAACTTTAGGGTCACCTTTCTACTTTTCAAGTTATTTGCCCCTGATAATGAGAATTTTTACTATGTTTTATTATTTTCATCTCTTTCAGGAGAAGATGCTATGGTTCAATGTTTAAACATACTATATTTTTCTCAAAAATAAAAGGGACATAAGTTGATAAAAATTTCTATCAGTTCTCATAAACTATAGAAAAACAAGAGGGCCATGATGGCCCTGAGGTCGCTCACCTGTATATAGCCCCCTCCCCCAACCATCCCCCCCAACCTTGCAGGGCCAATTTAACCCAAGGGCTTTTATTTGAACAAACTTGGTAGACACCCATAAGAAGATGTTTCGTGCTAAACATCTAAAGGGCTT